AGACCTTCTTATTCCTGTATTTTGCAGCCTTTAAATTTCAAACTGAGGCACAAAGGTTCTTGACAGTTGCGCCTGCACAGCATAGAAGCACCCGCAAGAGCTGTGCCCAGAGTGTGAAAGCGCTACAGTAATAACACTAACATGGGATATCCACAATGATTATCCGTTTGTTATTGGTTTTCTCGATATATCTTCAAGAACACTGTCAAAATCTTCGAGAATGTCTCACAGCAATAGGGCTACAGCGACAATCTGGGACTCTTTATAGTGATCCAGACTGGAGCCAGGATTTCTGGGATCCCCGTGCGGTCTTAGCTACCGGAACACTTGACAAACAGGAATGGCAAACAAAGAAAATCTAAAAAAAGCTCGCCCTATTTCTGATTTGAATTTATAAGAAATGAATGATGAAACTCATCTTTTGGTTAGTGAAAGTACAAGCAGACTAAATCACTAAACTTTCAGTGTTCTAGCTATTGAAGTTCTTTGAATTTCAATTTTTTGGCCAGATATACAAGCAGTCAAAAGGAACAAGTAATCATACTCACAAGACAAACCTTTTACATAGCATTTTACGAGTCAAACTTGAAACCTTTAAAATCCTCAGTTTCTGAGAATAACGGAGGTGCTCGGAGGGAGACCGAGTGATAACAAGTATCAACAGCAGTTGCAGACTGGCAAAGCTGTTGGTAGCTCTCTCTTCCAAGGGCTGCTCAGAAGCAAGCTGACGGCGGGTTTGATTCCTCGGCATGCGGTAGTACCAATTTACCATCGAAACGAATGGATGACTTATAGAATAGCTGTATTCCCACTGGCAGAGCTGAACCTTGGCTCTTATTACGGTAACACTGTTATTCCTCAATGCGCCATATCTGCCAGTTCTTGTGCCTAAATGATGTAAAAACACGTGAAAATTGACATTCATTTATTGAAAGCAGAAATTTTATTTCACAGATCACTGCAACAAATGCTCCATCACAGACATCATAATTTTAAGATACGTGGCAAAATCAGCTCCGAAAACCACGAGGGCTTTTTCGGATGTTATATCGATGAAAAAGTTTGATGAAAGGCCAACCGAAACCATACAAATGCTCTTCGCCAGAATAGCCTGCTTCTGTTGAAGAGTGCCCGATGCTACAGCTAAAATAGATGGTTTGCCTCGCGGTTTTCCCGTTGTTACCGGTAACTTGGCGGTGCTTGTCCTGGTGACACTGGTGGCGGTTTTCCGGCTGTTGCCGGTGGAAATTTTCCAGCTACTGCTGGTGATGTCTTCCTCGGTGGTGCAGGAGATGCTTGCCTTGGTGTCACAGGAAGCGCAGTTCCTGCTGCTGCCAGTGGTTCCTTTCTTGGTGGTGGTGCTGAGGATAATTTTGCTGATGGTGCCAGTGGTGCTTTCGCTGGTGATGTCTGCGGTGTTTGTCCTGGTGGAGCTGATGGCAGTTTTCTTGTTAGTGTCGTTACTGATTTCCCCGGTGGTACCAATGGTGCTTTTCCCGCCACAGCTGATGCTGCTTTCCCTAGTGCCGCTGATGGAAGTTGTCGCGGTAGTGCTGACGGTGGTTGTCCTGGTACTGTTGGTGGTTGTCTTGGTACTGCCGAAGGTGGTGCTTTCACTGGCTGTGTCGGTGATGCTTGCCCTGCTGATGCTGGTGACGGTTTTCCCATTGCTACCGGTGGTGCATTCTTTGTTGGTACCGGTGCTGCTTTTCCGATTGCTACCGGAATTGCTGAAGGCGCTTGCCCAGGTAGTGCCGCTGGTGCCTTTACTGGTGGTACTTGCCTCGGTGGTGCTGATGGCAGTTTCCTCGGTAGTGTTAGTGGCGGTTTTCCCGCTGGTGCTGGTGATGTTTGCCCCGGTGTTGCTGGCGATGCTTGCCCTGGTACTGTAGGTGATAGTTTCCCCGCTGCTACCGGTAGTGATTTTGGTGTCGGCGGTGCTACTGCTGGTGACGCCGGTGGTACTTGCCTTGGTGGTACTGATGACCGTTTACACTCTGGGACCAGCGATGCTTTCGCTAATGGTACTTGTTGTATCCTCTGCTCTGACGCTTTTCTTCCTGATAGTGCTTGTAGCAAATTTTCCGAAGAACGTGCGCCTTGCTTGTTTTCCAGAGATTTCTCCATCTCAAAATATTCTTTCGGTGTGAAGCGGAAGAATAAGCGACCATCCGGCGTTCGGAACCGTTCCTGAAAACAGAAATTTTTAGGACAATTCAACAACATGCTCAAATTCTTTTTGCGGCTTACTAAACGGTCAGTCTGAGAACTTGAAGCCGGAGTAGCTAGCACAGAAAGTTGTCATAGGGCAGTTCATTTTTCTTGAGTAAGAGGTAAGAAGATTGTTTGAGGAAGTTGTGTTGGAGACTGCAAATTTCATTACTGTAACTTCAGCAGCTTTGGCGAAGTAAAAGATTAATGAAGGCTTAATTTTGACTCTCACTGAGCATGCAAAAGCTTTATAACTGAAGCTTCAGCAACTCCGGGCAAATAAAGCATTAAATGAGAATAGAGTTAGGGTTTAAACCAAAATTAAACTTTTCCAGACATGAGACTCGAATATCAGCGTTCTAAACTCGCGGTCGAATATATTCACTCGGGACAAGCAACGCAGATGAACAAAGAACTGAGCTTAGCAGATGAAAAGACCAAGGATGGATAGCTTTCACCAAGTTATGAGACGTCTTTTGCAACTCTAATGCAATATCGACTTTCAAAGAGGCACTTTCAGCTTGCTTTTTGGGAGTAAAAAATGAAACATCAGCTTACAAATAAAGCAGCGATCCAGTAAACTACGAAATGTTCATTTGTGTAACAGCTGTACATGTTTCATCAGTTAATGGTACTTGGTAGAACCCAAATAAAATCCCACACTTTTAAGCCATATTTGATGAAAAGGCGGGAGCCAAGGAAACTACACAAAAGGAATGGCGCGCCGCACTTGCTGCTGAAGGTAATGCTTACGACATGGTAATCGGCTTTGGTCACTTTTGCTTTTCCGCCTGCTTTTATTTCTTTTGGTTTTTTGAATTCATCCACTCTTTTCGAAACTTTTGCGCCTTTTAATTCTTTTGGCAGTTTGGAATCTTGTGAGAGTTTCAAGTCTTGTTCTTCTCTCGATTCTTCTCTCTCTTCTGCGGTTACCGAGCATTCTGTCTCTTTCGATTCAGCGCAAGTTTTCGATCCTGACTCTTTGGCTTCCTCTTTTTTGCCCTCATCTTTCATCGCTTTTTCGTCCTGGAATGTCTAGTAATGAGCTGGGTTTATTTAAGATCTCTGAGTGTAAGCTTATATTTCGCTGATGTTTGACTATTTCATAAGGTAACTGTGGTTCCTTACGGGCGACTGTATGCTCTCTTCAATTACTATCAGAAGGAAATTCAACTTCGAAAATCTTCTTTTCAAAATTTTCAGCAAGTATCAAGAATACCAAGACTCAGGGGGCAATCAGTGTGGATAGCCCATTTTGATGGTATTACTAGAGTGCTTGTTCAGCAAGCTCTCTCCTTTCTTAAATTTGTTATTGAACAATTCGCATCCCTGGCAGGCACAATTTTTTGGCAAATAAGCGTTGTTCTCAAAACTGAAAATCTATGGTCTGATTTCATCAGCAGGAAAAAGCAATCTCTCTACAGTCTGCTGAATTTCCCCGGTTTATTTGAAGCCTTCGTTCTTGTCCCCTTCCGCCTTTCTATTCGCCGTTTTGCCGAAAAGATCCAAAAAATCCCTTCAAATTCAGTAAAAATAATCACTTTTTTCTTCTCTTCTTTCCGTTGCATAGCATGCAATTCTGAAAAAATACATAACAAGTCATTTTTTTGCAAATTTTTATAAATCTAAAAATATATGCGATAATATGGTGAACCTGATTGGAGGGTAGAAGAGGAGCAAGAACCTGGTAACTCCCGTTCGGTCTAGGGCAATGAGGCGAAGATCATGTAGCTATGCAGTAGATTCAAAAGGTAAATCAGGTGAGATGCAATAAAAGCATAGGCCTTTGATAAGCAGTGGAGCCAAGATCCAGAAAATCCTGATTCTGTGAGGGCGAAGAAGACAAAAAAAAGCAGCGCAAGCTTTCTGAGCTCGTGGCATGAGGGGTGGAAAAGTAGTAAAGATCCTGGAAATTCTGGGAGGGTCTGCTTTAAAATTTTTCTTTAAATCGAGAATTACATGACAGAAATACCCTGTATAGCTTCCATTTCTCGTTTGAGCACATTCGCCTGGGACGGAGTGAGACCCGGGATGTTACTGATTCCGCTTTCTGCTGCACCCCCTGCAGCCGGCGATTCTCCATCGAATTCCTCATCCCCGGTGATCTTCTTTATTTTTCTGTTGAGGATTATTTCTTGACGTTTCGTTAGCCCATACGTCTTATCCCCCTAAAAATAATTCGTTCTTAATTCGTCTGTTTATGCAAAATATATCATGCTCATTTCATGTTGTTTCAGAATTAATACACTATCATTAAAGCAAATGGTTGTTATTGTTGTTGTTGCTGATATTACTGTTATTATTATTGTTACTATTATCGCCGTTACTTTTATTATTATTAATATTATTATTGCTATTACTATTTCTACAAGAACTACTATTGTTGTTGTTTATTTGTTTCGTCTTTCCTTCCCGCTCTTCACTTTCTTCCACCTTCAGGCTATTTATGTAATTCAAACGTACAATGTTCCGTTCGTATTGCAGCTTACTTTCATCCGCTTCATCATTTTTCTTTTTATCCATTGAGGTTTCTGTTTCGGTTTCCCCGAGCTGCAAAAAGCCGCTCTAAAATGACCGCCGAATAATAAATCCTATTCCTTCCTAAGTCAAAGAAAAAGTAAAAACACTGCCAGCGTGAGTGCACATATTAAACTGGAAAGCAACAACCATTCCGTATGAACGGATAACAATCTGACTGCTTCAAGATTCGAGTAAAAACGCTTGATTGTACCGGTAAGTCTGCTGTGTCGTTTCCCCGGTTTTCTTTGCCGCCGTTTTTCTCAGCTACATCAACTCCCTTTTGAACATCCTCTTCACCCTGCAATAAAATATAATTTTGTTGAGAAATTAAACCCCAATACAGAAGGCTTACATGTCCAAAGTAATGTTCACAGTTCCGAAGGGTATCAGCAACCTCAAAAAATACACGCAGAAGAGCTAGCGTTCTTCTCTCATACTGGATTATTTCTGTTTTTAACCTCGATTTTCAGGATTTTTTTATCAACTTACTTTTCAGCAAACCTTAAGCAATCAAAAAAAAAA